CAAGTAATAAAATATCATCATCATTATCATTTCCGTTCCCATTTTGACCAACACCTATTAAATTAAAATTAGATAAGATTAAAAATTAAGACTAAAGTAATTCATAATTAACTTTTATGCAAATATATTTTTACAAAGTTAATATAATAATATTTACCAAATGATATGACCATGTACTTTCCGATTACAGTTGCCTCATGCAAACGTCTTGACTCTTCAGGTTGTTTTCCAGACGATTTTGGAATAGACCATTCATAATTTTCCAAATTTAATACATAAAGTGCGTCTGGAAGTAAAACATTACCATTTTTATTTGCTCCTCCAAAAATTATTACTCGTTGTCCATCCAACCCTTCAATATCATTGTTATTGTTGGTTAATATAAGTTCAAAACATCCTATATATTTTTGTTTACTTACCAAGGACAGTAGAAAAAGCAGCTCTATCCGAAGGAATTGTACCTGAAGTTGACTAATGTAAAATTATATAAGTTTTTAGCTATTTAAAATATTTGTTACTAAATAAAATCCATTAATAAAACTTGCCTTTATACTCCAATTATCATTAATCGTATCATATAGGTAGATCTATAATTTTATTATTTGTTTTATATTTATTAACTTTCAATGTTTATAATTTACATATTATTTAATTAATATATCACCTCATTTAATGGCAAAACATCATCATCATTATCTTTATATCCACCTATTTAATAAACTTGCTTGTATAAGATAATGTTTGTCAACTTATTGCAGTATCGATTATTTACTTACCAAAATAAATAACGGTATTATTTGAAATAAAAACCGCACCACAAATATTTCTTGGAGTAGGAGCATTAACTAAACTTCCCACGTTCAAATTCAAATTAATTGTATCCAAAATAAGCATATCATTATAAAAAGTTGTTCTATTTTTATGATTTCCACCGAACAAATACATCTTCCCAATATCATCAACGATGCCTTTTAGATTATGTTTTGTCTTGATATCATCTCCATTTTTAACTAATTCTGGAATACTCCATGAATTACTTTTTGTATCAAACGTATAAACTAATTCCAGAACAATAGGTCTATCAGTTTTTGCTCCAAATAAAAACAAAGTATCATTATATGCACCACCTCTGGCAGATGCAGCGGAACGGTGCGCTGGAATAGTATTAATATCTGTTAGATCGTGCCATACTATATTTTTAATATTAAATTGTTCAGATACGTCAAGATAAAAAAATTGTCCTCCAATATTTTCATTATTTTTAGTTGAATCTAATCGACCACCTAAGATGTAAAGTTTATTATCAATAAGTGTTGCTGTATGAGAGTATCGTTTTAATGGCTTAAAAGGTGTACTTTGGCAATTTACTTCAATTAACAATCGAATTAAAAACCACAATACGATATATATCAAATAATTCTTTGACATGACTGTTTTACTTAAAACTAATTGCAATTCTTTTTTATTAAAAAAGGAAAGAAAAAAAAATCTTGTTCAACGGTTACGATAAATGTGCAGATCGCATCGTATCACACTTTCTGATCAGTCAAAAAAAAGGTTTTGTAATATTATGTATGTATGTGTATGTTTGGAAATTTCCATTTTAAAGGTCACAAAATAAATAAATAATAAATAAGCATCACTTTTCGCATCGAGGTACAAAATGTAAGATTTCTTTCTAAGATCACGAAATTTGTTTGGCCAAGTTATTTGATAATTAGAAAGGTGCGGGGTAGACCGCAACTGTACATATCACATGATAAGTACTTTAAAAAAATTTATTATACATGTGGTCTAGGATAATAACCTAAACCCGATTTAATTTGCCCATTGGAAAATATTTTAATGAAGTTTTTTTCCTTTGCGAAGAAATTAAGGTTTAATTGTGCAAATCATGATATACTCACGTGATATAACTTTTTTAAGCTAAAATTCTATGCGCATTTATTTGTACAATAATAAAGAATGAAGGATGGAAATTACTTA